CGCGCTAGAGATTGGTAACAACCCGCTATTTTATCGGGCCCGGTAAGTACCGGGAAAATTTACGGGTGCTTCGAGAAACGCTATTTCGGGCCCGGTAAAATTTCCCGTTAACCGGCCCGGTAAGTTATCGGGCCCAGTATTTACGGGAGCTTTCGAGAAACAGGTCCCAGGCGACTAGTTCAGGACCGCACTTCCAAATCGATATCACTAAAGATTTCAACACCAGCCGGAAATTAATTTTGCCCTGTGTTATGGCATAAATCTTTCTGCCTTGATCTATTATTTTTATTGGTAACACCAGGTAGCTCGAATATATTAGCACTAATAGAGAAATGCTACTGTGTAAATTCGAGAGTACATCAAGTTTATGCACGCATGTATAGTGACATATTCTGTTTTGAAGAAATCGTACGTTAAAACCACTTTGTTGATTCATTTGCTACTATCTTAATCGTATTTCTCTCTCTATACGCAGTGCGTCCTGAGAGTGCGGAAGCGAGTCACTTTGATGGGGATAACTGTCACTGCCATATTTGCAATCTGTTGGACGCCTGACGTAATTGTGCACAACTTAGACATCAACACATCTCTCAGTATCAGTGAAGATGTATACGCCGTTATTCATACGCTAATACTGTTCAGTTCCGCTGTCAACCCATTTGTGTACGCTCTGGTTAACACAACCTTCCGAGAAAAGCTAAAAGGAATGTTATGCTGTAGCTGTACCGGCTCCATGGGATCCACACGAAATCGAGTTTGTCAACAAAATTTAAACTCCACGGTGGGGATATCAACTTTGGTGTGATCAAAAAATCTAAAAATATTTCTCCTTTTACTGCTGCCTTTTTTATAATTAAAGGAAATTGTGACGGCATTATACAGATTGGAGAGACAAAGTTATGATAAACGTTAGCACTTTAAACTGCCTTGAGAGAAAGCGATTCTCCTCTCTTCCTCTGAGCAGCAAGAGAAGGGAATCTCTCACAGGGTAGGCAACTTTACAGGAGTATTACCTTTCATAGATCTGGCAGGAAGGTTATTGCAATTCTTCAATTTAGCGTCGGGACCGCTATTTACATTTGGTAGTTTAAGGGAGTTCACTTATTGGAAGAGGGAGCGTTTATTCGTTTTTCATAAATATCACGATGTGACCCAGTTCTTTAATGAAAAACAGAACCTTTAACTCAAGAACTTTCATAATGTTCAATATTGCTTCACAGTCCATCCATAGTTCATTCATCTAATTACTCTATTAACTGTCAATGCCTTAAATGACACTGTCGCTATGGGCACGCTTAGCTTGTATAAAGAGGGTGCTTAATGAATTTGGAATAGGGGGAGNGGTGGAAGCGCTTATTAGGTTATATAGCATATCACATCTATAGGTATGCACATTAAAAACACACAGCGCGACCGGCTCCCAGTTGTCTTACACCAATAAATAACTCACAGGCCATTGGTCTAAATATTTTCAGGTTTTAATGTCATCACAGCTGCTTAAGTTGTGTATGTAAGAGCTGCATGATCATTCATGTATTTACATCAATTAGTGTTTATTATTCGTTCACGAACACGTGCACCCTCCTCCGTTATTATGGGTACCAGCACCCCTATCATTTATGCTTTTAATTTATAATAATAATTACTGTAATAAATTATTTCTAGATCTGAGGTGAAATAAAAGTTTTGTTGTTTTGTCTGTTGTTGTCGTTGCATATGTTTGATGCCTCTGCAGATATAACCAATAGCTTATATTTGGCGCGAAAAAATTGCTCAGAAATTTTTCCGCGGACATTATCTGTTCTGAGAAGCAAACCCAGAGAGTGAAGTTAGAGCAAAACTGTCAGTTCCGAGGAACAGATAATGTCCAAGGACAAATATGCGATCATTTTTTACAGTCAAATGGAGGCTATTGTGTTTATTATCTTTATTATCCTTTCCTTTAATAATATTTCCTTTAATATTTTTCTCAACACGGGTGATCTGAAAATTGGGGAATATCACTCGGATATTCCCCAGTTTTAGCTGGGCATATTCAGTCACGTGACGCGTTTACACCAGTCGCGTGCAAACGAAAATATCTGATGGATTATAAAGCTAGGTACTATACGTGATTGGTTGTCAGTTTCGCATGCTGAGCTCAATAACTGCTCGCAGTATCGTTATTAATGATTGAATAACCGTTTACCAAAACCTGCCTTTACAATACGTCTGCGATTCTATTAGGATGCAGAAATTTAAGCATCAAAACGTTTCAAATGATAAAGAAAATTGATGCAACTCTCATATGAAAATACAGACAGCTTTTAATTTTGCTACCATTTTTTTTTTATGATAACTATTTAAATAAGGCCCCATTTACAATACGCCAGAGAAATTTGAAAACGGAGGTTTCACCCTGAAAACGCATCAAACGTTTTGCGTTTTTTCTCACATTACGCCGGAGAAATTTGAAAACGCAAAAATCACCGGTCATTTTGGATTTGTGTTTGAGGAAAACTCGGTCAGGGAAATCACTGGATTATCGTGACATCATCATTTTCGAAAAGCTCCTGTTTTCAAAATAATTTCCCTCCAAACTAAAGCGCAATGAAGGCGTTTTCAAATTCCTCCGGTTTGAAGAGCATTTTCGGAAGGCTCCGTTTTCGTGATGGCTTAGTGTGGACAGTTGGCCTAAAGATAGGAATAAAGCTGCGTTTTCAATTTTCTTCGGAGTAGTGTGAACGGGGCTTAACATAACGAGCACCGGTTGGTAATCACGTGGTCCAACTTGTATAAATTTTCTTACGATGATTATTGAACTGCTGTCCTTCATAATCCTTTTCTTGCGATGTCATCAGTGATAGCAGTTTTTTGGACTGGCTACAACATTACCGTTCAACTTCTCCGATTGTCCACAAGTGAAGTGTTTTAGGTAAGATTGTCATTTTGCATTTATTTTCTAAGTTTCTAGATATTTCATTAATAGGTTTTAAAATATCAAAAAACGTGCTAAAAGTTGGTAGATATTATCTGCATATTGTATTAAATCATTTTGTTTTAAAGGTGTGAAACATATTGAAGTAAAAGAATTGCTAAAACGGGACTTAAATAAAATTTTTTAAGCAAATAATAATCGTATAACAATGTAACAATGAGGAAACACCCTGTAAGAACACGTTCGCTAAAACCTGTACCTCGACAACTCGATAGAGAAACAAAATTGCCCAAGCTGTTGACATTATGATGAAGCAGGCAAAGAGAGCGTGAATTTTAATCATTCAAATAAATAAGTGGATTTCTTTTCTTTTCCATCCAGAGTTTCCTAAAATTCTTCGCGTTCCTATCGAGTTGTAGAAACACAAGAAAAAGTTTGAAGCAGGAATTTTTGTAGTAGATTTTTCTGTAACCAGAAGTGAAGGTTTGCATAAGAAATGTTGCAGCAACACGAGCAGCAGGCAATACATATTTATCTCTGTCATTAAACCTGGAAGCGCTCGATAGCGCTCAAATATTCACAAAATGTTTCGCAGGGTTTAACCGGCTGACCGGAATGTGGAACTTTTGCCGCTGAGGANGCAATGAAGGCATTTTCAAATTCCTCCGGTTTGAAGAGCATTTTCGGAAGGCTCCGTTTTCGTGATGGCTCAGTGTGGACAGTTGGCCTAAAGATAGCAATAAAGCTGCGTTTTTAATTTTCTTCGGCGTGGTGTGAACGGGGCTTAACATAACGAGCACCGGCTGGTAATCACGTGGTCCAAGTTGTATAAATTTTCTTACGATGATTATTGAACTGCTGTCCTTCATAATCCTTTTCTTGCGATGACATCAGTGATAGCAGTTTTTTTGGACTGGCTACAACATTACCGTTCAACTTCTCCGATTGTCCACAAGTGAAGTGTTTTAGGTAAGATTGTCATTTTGCATTTATTTTCTAAGTTTCTAGATATTTCATTAATAGGTTTTAAAATATCAAAAAACGTGCTAAAAGTTGGTAGATATTATCTGCATATTGTATTAAATCATTTTGTTTTAAAGGTGTGAAACATATTGAAGTAAAAGAATTGCTAAAACGGGACTTAAATAAAATTTTTTAAGCAAATAATAATCGTATAACAATGTAACAATGAGGAAACACCCTGTAAGAACACGTTCGCTAAAACCTGTACCTCGACAACTCGATAGAGAAACAAAATTGCCCAAGCTGTTGACATTATGATGAAGCAGGCAAAGAGAGCGTGAATTTTAATCATTCAAATAAATAAGTGGATTTCTTTTCTTTTCCATCCAGAGTTTCCTAAAATTCTTCGCGTTCCTATCGAGTTGTAGAAACACAAGAAAAAGTTTGAAGCAGGAATTTTTGTAGTAGATTTTTCTGTAACCAGAAGTGAAGGTTTGCATAAGAAATGTTGCAGCAACACGAGCAGCAGGCAATACATATTTATCTCTGTCATTAAACCTGGAAGCGCTCGATAGCGCTCAAATATTCACAAAATGTT